GAGGAATGAAGGTGTGGGTTGTGTTTCGAAGGTTGTTTACTTAAAATTTTATGTCAAACTTTGATGATTTTGGTGAGGAATTGATGATGAAATCAAAGGCACAGTTTTGCCCCCTTTCAAGAGCAAGAACTCGAATTTGAGAGAAAGAATGAGGAGGAAGATGAGTGAATAGTGGCTGATTGTGTTGTTGTCTTAAGTCACTTAAGTGGGTGGGCCCCACTTGACACCTCACTCATTTCAAATTATTTCAAATCTCCCACTTAAACTACTAATTTTCATCAAATTTCGTCAATAATCATAATTCTTAGTCCTATGTACCTTTTCCAACTTATTTTCAAACCTAGAGTTTAAATTTCACTCAGCACGCTTTTCGGTGTAACTGCACAACTATATTTTTACCTGGTAAAAATACTATTAATCAATTTTTCATAAACTTGCCTAACCACTCAATTTTTTGTTCTGAATCTATTTCCAGTGTTAATTTTTCCATTTGAGACCTTCTACTAACATTTCACTATTTAGGATTACGTGTTTGTCAAATTACCGTTTTACCATTTTTACGTATTTTGACCCAGAACTCAGGATTTTCACTAATTCTTTCCTTTAATCATTATTTTAACTATAATTATATGTTTTAAATCTACGAGGTGTTATAGTCCTACCTCCGGAGTACTTCCCACTTGTATGTTCCTGGAATCATGTGTGTGGTGGGATCCGTAAGCTCAGGCTTGTGATTGGATATAGACCAAGGAGATTTGGATGATGATGAGTCAACCATAATAATATACTATAAAAAAGTACAAATTGATTGTTATAATTAATTTCATTTCAAATAATTTACATGTATAGTACAACTTTTAAAAATATATTAAATTAGAAAAAAGTTTTTTTTATTAAAAGTATGTAAGTATATATTATAATTTCCTATAATTATCCTAAGTCACTAATCATAACCTAAGTCACTAACAATTTTCTAAGTCACAAATAAATTCCTAGGTCGGTAACAAATTCCTAAGTCACTAACAAATTCCTAGATCACTAACAATTTCCCAAGCCACAATCAATTCCTTGGTCACTAACAAAGTCCTAAGTCACAAATAAACTTCTAGGTCACTAGCAAATTTCCTAAGTCACTAACAAATTCCTAGGTCACTAGTATAACACATCTATTACTATAATTAAAAAAATATAGAAACCAGATATTAAGACTTACTTGATTGGCAGAGCTTCACTACGCCAAAAACTCAAGGAGAAATCTAGAAAGAAGTTAGAGCAAAATCTTAAAGAGAAGGTAGAGATAGTTTGAAATAAAAAGTGAAAAGTGGGGGTATATATAGGCCAGCTAGGTCACACCTAGCTTGGGCGTGAGTGGTCACGCCTTTTCTAGGCATGAGTGGCTTAGTGGTCACGCCTAAGTGGGGCGTGAGTGATCTTGTCCAAACTGAGTGTGAGTGAGTGCAATAAATCAGTAAATTGGTTCGAAACAACAATATTTTAATTTTTTTGCCCTAAAACAGATGCAAAAGATGAAGACATGTCGCATGTACCTTATAGTAGTGTAGTGGACAATTTAATTTGTTATGGTGTGCAATGAGCGCGGTGAATCATTGCTTATAACATCCTAAAAAGTTTCATGGGGAGGCAGTGAAGTGAATCCTAAAATATTTGAAGGGTACTTTAGCTATTAGTTTGGAATTTGATTGGACACATACCACTTTATCAGGCTATGTTGGTGATCTTGACAAAAGAAAATCTTTAACACATTGTATTTTTGTAGTAGGTGGTTCTGTAATTAATTAGTAGGAGGACCACACTACAAAGTTTTTCTTTTCTTTTTTTTAGTTTGGGAAACATAAATTATTAAAATTAGCATTTGATAAAATTGATTTTTTTTTTTCATTTTAGAGAATGAATCGTACAAAAATAAGAATCATATTTTTTTCCTGATACACTATTTATTAAATACACATATAGAATGTTTTATCAGCACTACATGCACGTTACTATTAAAGAAAAAGTGTTTGTCATTTTAAATAACATAATTTTGTGTTATTTTAGATGAAATGACATCATTTTGATACATAATTGGTGATTTTTTATATTTTCTTTCCTTCACTTTCTTCGTAATTTTATGGAGAAGAGAAAATGTAAAAAATCATCAAATATACATCAAAATAATGTCGTTTCTTTTAAAATGACATAAAATTGTGTCATTTAAAATGATAAATATTTGTTCCATTATTAAATATACTCTCTTTGGGAATAAAAATAAGTTGTTATGCTTACCAAAAAAAAAAGTTGTTATAATCATTGTTGTAAAAAACTAGTGTAAAAACTTATGTTTTTACATTTTTACTAGAGTGGTGTGTGTTAAAATGCAAGTAAAAACGGTCCTGAGTAAAAACTGGTAAAAATGTCACGTAAAAACGTAAAAATGGTAAAAACTTACGTTTTGACCGTTTTTACTTCAAATGAAATTAAAAAAAAAAAGATTTACAAAAAAAGAAATTAAAAAAAAAAACCCCAATTTTCGTTTTCTCCAAATCATATGCATAGTATCTTGATATCTTTTTGTTTGGATATATGTCTTATAAAGTTGTCTTTTATAATTATGTCTTATAAAGCTGCAATTCTATTATAAGTTATGCTATGAGAATCGTTTTATGTTTTTGGATCATTGTGTGCATTGAAAGAAGTGGAATTATTGTTATCAAAAAAAAAAAAAAGTGGAATTATTTCCTGATGAACGATGATCCAAAATCTGCAGAGTGTATGAAGCAGCTAGAGTAGATTGATTATCCATTACTTATTAGTTATCACTATTTATAATTTTGATACTTGGCTATTATGTGATTTTTTTTTTACATGCATATGTATAATTTTGTATTTTGACCTTAAGTAGTAGAAAGTAAAAACTTTACATTTCGTGTCATTTTTACGTTTTACGTTTCTACCACCCCTTTTCGTTTCTACGTAGAAACTCGAATTTAACAACATTGGTTATAATTAAATATATATTTTTTCACAAAAACTTTTGCTAAACATAAATGTAAAAAATAAAATATTGACTTCCAGAAGCAATACCAAAGAACGTCATTGTTGTCATGCACATCTTAAATGTACCAAAAAATTCTAATAAGAAAGTATTATTAGGTGAAGATTCTTGAATGAAAAATAATTATTAAAAGTAAAATAAGCTATTACTAAAATAAATTTAAAAATGTTTGATCTCACAACAATGACTAAAAGAATATGTTATTAATAAAGTTAAATTAATTTAAAGGTCTTCTACCTTTTAAAAAATTATAAAGGCGTCCATATATTTTTAAATTATAAATGAATCTTTACAATTTTAAATTTTTTTAATTGAAATTCTCAAAAAGTGTAAGTAACTGAAGATTATTTAACTCATTAATCTATCTTCTTCACTTAATATTACATAGGAGTTTTTTGTTTTTTGTCTAAGTAGTTTCACTTCATTGATTAAAAGATAAACATATAAAGTGCAAAATAATATTTATAGCTCTCCAATTACATTTATTTTTAAAAATCCTTATTGATTTCTTCTTATATTAGTATAATTCACTTTAACCTCTCCTTATTATTATTATTATCTTTTTTGTCTAAATAAAGTACAAAAAATGTGTTCTACCAAAAAATAAAGTACAAAAAATGTGAATTGACAGATAGCCATCAATAAGCTGGTAACAAATAATGGGTTTTTGTCGTGGATAGATCATTTCTTATAATTGCACAAATAATATTAGTTTAGTGTTAAATCAAGTAAATTTGTTTATCAAAAAAAAAAAATCAAGTGAATTTATTGTTAATTATTTTTTGGTAAACTGTAAATTTATTGTTGATTATTATATAAAGGAAGTGGTTTCCCATTAACAACATAAACGCAAAAATCTCACCCGAAAAAAAAAAGTTGTACTGTTCTTCAAAAGTCATTAAAAAATGACAAGTAAATTTGTTTAAAAAAGAAGTAATTATAAAAAATTAAATTGGACTAAGAATTTTCATTAACCCACTTAAAACCTCTCTTCTGGGCCTTGGTTTTTGCAAAGTGGCTCGAGGACTTAGGGGTATAAATGAGTCAGCCGACTTAATAGGGCTTATGACCTAATTTACATCAAGTCAGACTCAGCTTATTGCATATAAAAAAAGTCTATTTAAAAAGCAAGTCATAGACTTTCTTTTATATATCGGGCCTATCAACTTACAGGCTAACCTATCATATTATTTATTTTAAATAAAATAAAATAAATAATATTTTAATGATTTTGAATAATAAAGTAATATTATTATTTTTATTTATTTGAATTATTGAATATCTAATAGACTTAAACAGGTTAATAGACTTAGGTCAAGACTTTTGTTTTCTAAATATAAGTTAGATCAGACTTATAATTTGGAACTATACAAGGCTAACAAGTTAAGTCAGGCTTAAAGTATTTTACGTAGGCCTGACTTTTTTAAGGCAAAACTTAGTCCAGCCCAGCCTATTTATACCCCCTAGAGTCAACAACATCAAATTGGTAACTAAAACCCACTTATAATAATTAAGAATTAAGAAAGATTCATAATAAAAATAAACTATATAATTAAGAATTAAGAAAGATTCACTTAAAAAAGTAATTATAAAAAATTAAATTGGATGAAAGATTCATAATTATTAAGAATTTTCATCAATAAACTTGAAACCATTTAGACAAGAGTTCCAAAAAAAGAAAAGATAAAAACAACATCAACAAATAGCTTTATTCCAAATGAATTAGGGTCGACGGTCAATAAAGTCAAATATGAAGAAATAAAAAAAATCAAGAAAATAATAAAAAAATCAACAAATACCTTTTATGAGTGGAAAGTGGCAACGGTTGAAAAAACTACTATTTAAATGGTAACTGTATTTGGCGGGGGCAACATTGAGACTCTTCCATTACTCATAATCATCACAATTCATATCACACCATCTTCTTCTTGAAACTAAAGAAATAATGTGGAATCTTGATTGTGATTGGTACTCTCCCAAGAGTCTTCTCAGCAGTCCCACCCATTATGATTTTCCAGTACATCAAACTTCATTACTACTCTTTCAATCTCATTTCCATTTTTCCATTTTTTTCACCATATGATTCTTTTTTATTTTCTGGCATTTTTTTTTTTTTTTTTTTTTTTTGTGAAGGGTGATCGGTTCATACCCAACAGGAGTTTGATGGATCTTGATCAAGCCCAGAGTTTTCTCACAAATAGGACCAAAAAAATTCAGAATACACAATTCAATGTATATTCATTCCCTCATGTTTTTGTTTTTCTTATCTTTTTCATGCTAAAAATATAACTTTTGATCCTGTAAAGGTTCTTTGAACCTTACCCTCTTCTTTATTGAGATCGAAAAGCACATCAATGTTTCTAAAGTTTTGAACTTTTCAATGTCATTCCAAAATCAAGAAAATCCATTCTTGTTGAGATTCTTGAATTTTCTTTTTTCTTTGTTTTTTACCAAATTCCACTAAATATATTTGTATCTGGGCTCTGGAATATTTGATGATTCAGATTTGTATTCCTTCTTTCTTATTCATTTTCATTGTTGAAACTGTTCATATTAGAGAAGAGAGATATAAGTAACGAGGCTTTATGTTGTGTTTTATTTCCTTTATGTTATGATGGCAGGAAGTGTATAGGCAGAAAGTGGATGAGAAACTGAACTTGAATTCAGAAGGGAAGCCATTTAGAATGTTAGTCTTCAGGGGAAGTCCAAAATCAAGTAGAAAATCAATTCGTCATATTGATGAGATGCGAGAGGAAGAGGCTGCAGCATTTCAAAACAATGGCAATCAACATCATTATCGTAAAATGCCTAAGGTTTTGTTCATATCAATGTCCTTTCTTCCAGTTTCTTTTTTCTTTTCTTTTTTATAATAGTTTTTATATTCTGTTCAGTATTTGCAGCGATCAATTTATCCATTTGTTTAAAAAAATTTAGATTAAACCCTCAAGGGCCTCAACTTGCTTCTCTAAAGATAAGGGTGTCACTAAAATGGAGAAGGATATACTTACCACTAAAAAAGTTTACCACATTTACAACCAACCTAATCACCGTTGATTTCCGTCAATCTAACGGTTATAATTTATTGAAAATTATTAGGTCGCATTTATTAATTAATTCTTAATTCCCAATAAATCTAATAAATTATAACCGTTAAATTGACGGAAATCAACGGAGATTAGGTTGTTGTAAATGTGGTAAACTATTTTAGTGGTAAGTATATCTTGCCCCCACTAAAATATTCCTCAAAATATTTTAAAAAACTTAGAATGTAATCATACTCGTCTTTGAAGGACTAATTTGTAAGACTAATATGGTGACTCACTAATCTTTGGTTAAGGGCTAACTAAAAAATTTATTGTTGTATGATAGAATGCATATCCGAGACTAAGCAAAATGCACCTTCATTTGTCTTTGGTGTTTTAATCATTTCAACTGCAAGAGAATTTAGTTTTTTGGGTATCACCATAGCAGCATAAATGCTTAAATTAAATGTTTAATATTTGTTTCGATTGTTGGCAAAAACGTTCCTAAGTTGCTGTTATCAACAACAATTGATGACAAGTTTTTGCAAGTCTAGGGTTGAATGTGATGTTTCTATTTATCTGATTGAAGAATAATTGTTGATAGTTAACTATTTATATCAATGTCTATTTGTGTATATTCATTCAATTGTCTACAGTGTCCAATACATTAAGTCATAATCTCATGTTGTACTTTGAATGGATAAACTGAATTGCTACTAAACTTGCAGGGAGAAGCAAGGATATTGGATGCGCCAAATATTAGAAATGATTTCTATACAAACACTATAGATTGGGGGAAAAACAACCTTCTTGCTGTTGCTTTGGGCTCAGAAATGTTCCTTTGGAACTCAGAGAACAATAATGTACTTAAGTTGTTTAAAGCCACTGATAATGATTATCCCACTAGTGTTTCCTGGTCAGAGGATTCCAAATCTGTGGCAATAGGATTTATGCATTCTAAACTTCAACTTAGGGATTCTGAGACTTCCATGCCAGTAAGCATCTCATCTCTCTATTTATCTGGCTTCTCTAAGATCATCAAGCAGTTATTATACACTGTGGCTGGGTGGAATAATTCTTAGTTTTTATCTTTAACTTTCAGATAAGATCCCTTGAAGGTCATGGTAAAAGAATAGCAACCATTGCATGGAATGGTCATATTTTAACTTCCGGAAGCCATGACAAATCTATCATCAATCATGATGGTAATTAGTTGAACTTTTCATCCCTTTAGATGTATTGAGAGTTGAGTACGGTTCCCACTTTGCATTTAGTAGAAGACTCATGTTCCCCTTACGCATATAAAGCCAATGCGGTTTTCTAAAGCCTATTTATATTCTCTCGTAATTGAGTGTTTGTAACGAGTGTGGTGAGAAGAATATAGTGGTAGACTTGCTGGGTGAACTAGAGTAAACTGTATCTCCTGCTTTTCTACCATTCTTTTTATTTTATATTTTTGATAGTGTTTGATTGCTCTTGTCCTTACAAGATTATAGCAAGCTGCTGAAATGAGATAATATAACATCTAGCTTTTTCATGTTTGTGGAAGCAGTTAGAGCAAGAACAAATGTGATTTCCCGGGTAAAAGCACACAAAGCAGAAGTTTGTGGTTTAAAATGGTCGAGAAGGGGAAATATATTGGCAAGTGGTGGCAACGAAAATCATATTTATATATGGGACTTATCTAAAATGAGTTCATCCAATTTCTTGCATTGTTTTAAGGACCATTGTGCTGCAGTGAAGGCCCTTGCTTGGTGCCCTTACGATTCAAGTATACTTGCTTCTGGAGGTGGCACAGAAGATAGATGTATTAAGATATGGAATGTACAGAAGGGAACCTGCATTTCCAACATAGATACCAATGCTCAGGCAAGATAGGCATTTTTCTTTTCCTTGTTTCAGTAACTGTCTTATCTATTATTTTAGTGTTTGTTAAGTGAATTAAGAAATGCCATTCAACAAAAAGAACTAATCACCATTGTCTTAACTGCTTACTATTTAGTCCTTTGGATATATGCATCTATTATTTTTTCTAGCTGGAAGTTAGATGCACTCAATTACCTGAAGTAGTATGGTATTCATGCAGGTTTGTGGATTAGAATGGAATAGACATCACAAGGAGATATTAAGTGGACATGGTTTTAGTACAAGTGCAAATCACAACCAACTTTGTTTATGGAAGTATCCATCCATGGCTAAACTGGGAAGCGTGGACCGTCACGCTTCACGAGTCCTCCATCTATCTCAGGTTTGCTACAAAATCATAATTTGAACTTCAGCATAGTTGTTTAATGTGAAATTTTGAAGCATGTAATGTTGTAAGGGCAAACCTCGAGCTGTGGTAAAATTGCTTCTTGTTGACTAAAAGGTTACATATTCAAACTCAAGAAATAGCCTCTTTGAAAAATATAAGAGTAAAACTGCGCATAAAGATTTTCCTCACCTTTACCCTCACTAAGTTGTTCAATGTGAAATCTTGAAGCATGTATTGTTATAAGGCAAGAGGCATAAGAGGGCTAATCTGGAGTAGTGATAAAGTTGCTCCTTAATGACTGAGAGGTCACAGATCTCAATTCAACAAATAGTCTCTATATACAAGGATTTCTCTCACCCTTACCCTCCCTAAGTCGGGGTTTTATGGGGAATGGTTTTAATGTTGTAAGGCATGCATAGCGCTTGAATTTGTTTTTACTCAAGTGATACATTATGTTGATGACTCCAACTTTTGGTCAACATATAAACATAAAACATGAAAAGAAACCATATAAACTTTATCTATTTATTTCAAATTAAGGTAGGTTCTTATGATGTCTTGCAGAGCCCAGATGGACTAACAGTGGTGTCAGCTGGGGCAGATGAGACTCTTCGCTTTTGGGATGTTTTTGGGCCACCTGTTGCTGATACTTTAGAGACCTCAGATTTGGATAAACTTTTGTCTTTGAAGATATCCCCAATAAGATGATGGAAACAAGACAATTTTGTTCTCTTACTGTCTCAAATAGTAATGTTCACACTGATCTTTTTGCAGCAGTGATTTTTTTTAATGTAGTAAATGATTTAATTGAGAGAAGTACATCCATAATATTGGTGAAGAAAAAGGGAATTTTTTTTTATTTGTTATCTGGCAAAATAATAGTGAAATTGAAACAATTTACTCATACTAACTTTACCATATTGTTTGATCGATTAGAGGAATGTTGTGGTGGGATAATAATCTAGGTAGGTGTTGATTAAACTAGGAGAACGTGGTTGGCATTGAAAAGTAGATGTTACAACCTGAAATCAAATTCTTGTATGTCTAAAGGTTGCAATGTGGCAATTGTTTCTGTTTTTCCCTTTTCCCTACCCTCTTTCTTTGCTTTTGACATTAGTAGGGGAGTCACTCGCTGATATGTTGTTAACTCAATGACTAATCTACGTGATTATTATCTTTAGTTGCATGGATATATTCTATTTGTTAGTTTCCTTTTACTCATACTATGTTTGGCTTCCACTAGGGGTGTTAACGGGCCAAGTCGAGCTAAGCTTTGGTCTTAAAAGACTAAGTCTGTGTTTAAATATATCAGTCTGATCAAGCTTGTTACCTGTTATGAATATAATTATCAACATGTGGTCTGATTTATTTACAAAAAATAAAAACCTGATTTAGCCTGTTCAAAAAAAAAAAATAAGACAATAAAAATTTATCCAAACAGAATATACAATCAACAGCACTAGTAATATCATAAATATTCATAAATTCAATGTATATCCAAACAACATAATATAGAAAAAATCATTCAAAAAGTCTATTTAACCAATAAAATGGGGTGAAATAGATTGAAGAGAGAAATGACTATTATAAGTAGTATAAATAATATAAAATAAAAATTAATATACTAGGCCAGCCTGAGAGACTCTGGCCGAGCTTTTGAATTGAAGCTTGAGACCTTCTTATTAAACGATATTTTACACAAGTTCAGGCTGGTTCCAACAATCAATTTTAGACATATATAACTCAAGCCTACACGAGCCGAGGCAAAGGCCCCTAATTCGTTTATCACCCCTAACTTCCACAATTGCTACATATGGCTCATTTCATGGCTTCTTTTTAACATAAAAATTTTCGGCTATTCGTGTATCAAAACGACCATTCATTCTTTTCCGCTTTACGAACTATCAAAAATACCGTAACTGTTTATTTGTCAACGAATGATTGGGATTTTTCATATAACGTTGTTATCTTAAGAAGAGACGTGAGAAGATCCATATCTCTAAACACTAGGACTGTAAAGCTATCATTATATTTTTCACCCCATATGAGTCATCTCTCGAATCAAGCATGTGAACTTTTGGTGTAGATGAGCCCTTCGAGATGGGAGAGAATAGACATTCAATATTCAAAGAAAAGAATTTTATAGATACAATTAACAAAACCTTAATGGTTTTTGAAAAATTTATAGAAGAAATTATATATGGAGCAAAAAATGCTTATATTATTTATTTAATTCCTTTTGGTGAGAAGAGATATCTTAAAAAAAATTATAATAAATGTCTACTTTGATTCATGGTATAGACATTACATTAGTTATTCCTTTATCAATGACATCAAATTAAGCCTTCAATAATAATTAACACCATTAATATCATTTTTTAAATAATTAATATGATATCACTTCAAGGATCAATTCAATTCGATTATGTAAATATAAAAAAAGTACGAAACAAATGACAATATCATCAAAGGACCACGCTAGTAAATGAATGACTAATATAATGTTGCTTATATATTTGAAAGATGAAATCTAAAGTTTACTCAAAAAAATTATGAAGAGAATACAGAAAGGGTGAGCCAATTGTAAGTATTCAAACTCATTAAAAATTCAACATGTATGAACTAAGAAATGTTTCAAAAAAAGGTACTACATTAAGGTTCTGTTTGTAGCACCTGATAAAGAAGATAAGATAGAATAACTTATCATATCCTACTTTTATCTCTTGTTTGGTGGATCAATAGAATATGATTAGCTTATCCTATTGTCTTATTTTATCCTATCCAATACATGATTTCTTATCCTATAGGGAGAGCTGAGTTAGGATTCAATAAGATAGAATACCAATATTAGATACCAATATATCTCCACGCTACCCAATGTATTTGTATTTATTGCATTATATTTTGTTTTTTCTTTCTCCTTTCTCTTTCTACATACTATTATCATATTGCTAATCAGGTGCTCATCAAACACAAGACATGATATAGGCTTATCAGCCCCATATCATATTCTACTATTATCCTATACTGTCCACCAGACGAGCCCTAAAAGAATAATCACAAGTGTTCATTTTATTTGATAACATCAAAGTCTAATTTACAACATCGATCATAGAACAAAATTTGCGGCATGAAGTGATTGAACCTCTATCACAAACCTAGCAAAGGATACGCCATGTTAAACTCTATTTTAGATGGAAAAAAATTCACTCATTTCCCACCCAATTCAGCATCACCATCAGGATATATCTCAGGAGTAGCTTGACTGGATGTCCATTTCTCTTCTTCTATTCTTTTCCTCTCATCCTCTCTCTCCCTCTCTGCAACTAGAGCCTTAGCTTGCTCAAGTCTTGAGCTCACTGCTTCCCAAGACACAAGCTTATCCATGAACACTGATATATAATCAGGACGGCGGTTCTGTAGAGATAACAAGCAGCTATAGTTATATTTATCTATTGAACAGAAATTTTAAAGACACTAGCCAATGGGAATAGATCGTTTCATGTGACATAAGGTCAAATAAGAAAATCTCAGCCGCTCAGATACAAATCAACTCAACGGTAATTCTTTTCTCACCCTTTTATCTTAATGCATTCTTCCATCACTGATGATTTGTATTTGAATGACTGAGATATTCTCACATGTCCTCATATCACATGAGAGAATCCATTCCTGAAGCCAATATATAATACTGTTATGTACATCACATCTCACCTGATAGTCAAGGTAGTAAGCATGCTGTAAAAAAGTGAAATATTATTTCAATGTCAGCAATATGTTATTAATAAAATAATAGTTTCAAAGATTGACTCTGCAAATTGTTTCCTCAAATCACTAACAGAAAGTAAAATTGATTAATACCTCCCAAACATCAATAGTGAGGAGTGGCTGCAAGAAATTAATATGAAATCTCGTCAGACATTTTAGTCATGATGCTTCTGCCCTACCCTAGCATTTCTGTTTCAAACTATAAAAAATGAACGATGAATATTATAACTAGAACTTACTACTTACATAATAGTAGCCCCAAACAAGAGGGTTCACAGCATTGGGACTCTTCACCACGACTAGCTTGTTGTCCTCGTCAGTTTTAAGAGGATTTACTGCATTTCCCACGTCAAGTCTGCTTTCTTTATCTATGTTTCATAAATGAGAAAACAAAAAGATGGGTAAGGACCTCTTGCTAAGTTAGATATACCAATAAAGGTCAAATAAAAAGAATGACAGAAAGTGGGAGAGTATGGTGGGAAGGGTAATTACTCACATGCAAGCCAAGCCCATCCTGAACCAAATTGGGTTGAGGCTGCAATCTTGAACTTATCAAGGAATTTTTCAAATGAACCGAAGTCTCTTTCAATCAGTTTTAGAAGATCCCCAGATGGTTTTCCACCACCACCAGGTTTCATGGACTCCCAGAAGAAGTCATGGTTCCATGCCTGCAATAAGTAGAACAAGATTATTATGCAAGGGTTCAGAAACCTGAATAAGACTTGAATGATTACAAGCATGCATGCCTGTGCTGCATTGTTGAAAGCTGGAAGAAAGTCACCCTTATTGTACGCAATAACTATAATGTCCTCCAGTGACTTCCCATCTAGATCTGTTCCAATAATTTGCTTGTTTAGATTATCTACATAAGTCCTGTGGTGCTTCCCCCAATGATACTCGAGTGTCTCCTGGCTCATAATTGGCTCCAAAGCATTCTGAGAATTTTCATTACGACAGTATTAGTAAAATATGTATTATCAGTCCAACATAAACATCAAAATCTAAGCACGTACAAGACATATGGTTAGGTCATCATCAGAACTAATGAATCTCTCGTAGTAGTGTTTAATAATTTCAATGTAATTGAAATTGATACGAACCTCGGGAGAACCTCACCCCAAAAGCTAGCACAAGAAGTAGGAGAACCCAAAGTCCATATAAACCCCATATTAGTCACCCATATAATCAATGCGGGACTCAAGTCCCATACCTTGCAATTAGATCGTAACATTCCATCACGTTCCGCAACCCCGGCACCCACGCGGGCTGACTTTGCCCCAGTCTTTTACTAACCCTGGGCAAACACTGCAATGCCAGCGTCATCAGCCGCGTCGCTCAATTGCAACTGGGAGACATAGTGTCGAATACCAATTGATACGAATCTTGAGAAAACCCCACCCCAAAAGCTAGCTCAAGAGGTAGGAGAGCATTGATATGAACTTTAGAAGAGCCTCACCCCAAAAGCTAGCCCATGAGGTAGGAGAGCCCAAAGTCCATATAAATCCCACATTAGTCACCCATATAACCAATGTGGGACTCAAGTTTCATGCCTTGCAGTTGGATCATAACATTCTACCACGCTCCACAGCCTCAATGCCCAGGCGGGCTGGCTTTGCGCCAGTCTTTTACTAGCCCTGAGTGTACACTACAACGCCAACGTCACCAGCCGCACCGCTCGATTGCGGCTGGGAGACATAGGGGAAGGCTGTGATACCAATTGATATGAACTTTGGGAGAGCTCACCCCAGAAGCTAGCCATGAGGTAGGAGAGCCCAAAGTCCATATAAATCCCACATTTGTCACCCATATAACCAATATGTGACTCAAGTCTCATACCTTTCAATTGGATCGTAACATTGATATGCATAGAAAGGATTTAAATGGCTAATTATAAAAAACTTAAGAAGGATTCTGATATGGTTCTGCCAAGTAGAAAGTTTGGAAAGGTGTATGTGAGGAAGAGGCACATGGGATTGTTGCCAATTACAGGTACTGACTTAGCATTAGTTATTAGGCTGAGAATTAGTTGGTTGGGGTCACATTTTTAGCATCACACAAAGGATGTAATATATAGAGGAAAGACCATTTTGAGGGCATCTTGGAAAATTGGGACTCTTGGGCTTTTGGGAACCTCTCTATACGTTCTGGGTAATAGTTACCATTTAGACCTTTTTCTTCCATTTCATCCTCGTTATTTGTATTTCTCTTTTACCTATTCTGTAAGTTTCTCTTAAACATCATATTGTAATACATATCTGAATCTGAGTTAAGGTTCAGAACTATCAATCCACGCTTCTTTCTTAATCGTTTTCCCTTCTCTGCTTTAGTACCTAACAGATTCCCAACAGAGTGATGGATGATTAAGGTAAAACATGGAAAGCTTGATTGGTTAGTCATCTGGCTCAGACAATGGAAACTCAAGTCTTCATTTCATACAATTCACGGACACAATGCAATATTAACTTAAAGAAAGAACCAGAGTACATTAGAAAGCAGCAGCATTAGAAAAAGTAAAAAGAAAAAAAAAATCAGTATGGAAACATACCAACGAAGATTCTAACAAGGAAGAATAAGGAAAAGAAGATCATTGAAAAAAGAAAACGAAAGTAAAAGGAAATAACTATCGAATCAAAAGTGTCAAGACTTCCAATAAGGCATTCAAGTTCATAATAATGATAAACCTTTACAAAGCAACTCAGATCAAGACTATATAGTACTAGTTGAGTAAAATAAAACTGGGGAAGTAATTATATTCAACACAGGTTTGGAAAAATGTGAGATTTGTAAACATAACCCTGCTACAGTACGCACCAAAAAAATAGTTTAACCGTACAAAACTCTTAGTTTCCTTATTTACATTCTAACAGTGCCACATGTTTGGTGAGAAACAAGCCTTTTGTCACGATTGCAACCAGCTTAAAAGGTATATTCCCAAAGGAATATACATAAGTAGCAATTAGGGGTGATTATGAGTTGTAATTAGGGGCCAAGGCAGTTAGTGATGGTTGTAAGTTCATTTAGAGGGATCAGTTAGGGAGTTATGAGGTTAGAGGGGAAATATAAAGTTAGAGGCTTAGAGGAGAAGTTTGGAAGATATATATTAAGGACTCTATCTGTGTAGAGATGTATCATTTGCCTGAATTGTTAATTGACTCAGACTTCTCTCAGTGTGAAGGGGAAAGCCCCTTGGAAAGAGGGAGCTACCCAGCCTGAATTTAACAACAAGAGAAAGAGGGAGAAAGGGAAAGCCAAATTCACCAAAAAAGCCTTTGTAGCTCCAGGAACACAGAAGACAAGCTCTTGTACTGTTCCATAACATCAATAAAGAATCAACTTTTCCTTCATTTCTTCTTCTTTCTATCATCTGTTCCATACTATTCCTAATCACAAACCCATAAGCATATCACCTTTGCACTCAATAAATCTAACTGAGATGCTTGAGTTCTTTAATTCTTTAATTTTTAACTTTCTTTGTTGATGAAAGATTACACAACAAAATTTTGCTAAAATAGATTTTTTTTTTCAACACAACGGAAAATAATACAAGAAACATATGGACCCATGAAAAATTATTCAACTTGAAGGATGATGGGCCTGAGATAATTACTTAATAATGGGCCTGAGACAATTAGTAGTTAGTTAGGGAGTTTTCTTAAATAATAGGATATAAAGAGGGGAGTGTTAGGCATGCAGGAAATTAAGCAAATAGTGAATGGGGTTTTGGAAAAGGATCTCTTCAGGCCTAGGTGTTTGGCTTTGAAGGTGAGTTGAGACCTTTGGTTTATCTATCAACATTGTCATTTTATTACTTCTAATTAGGACGAAGAGTCAGTCATGTTGGAGTCTGTAATTGCAACTCTGTTTGAGAGTTTTTTATCAATCAAATACAATGTTGTTCTTATTGTCACTTTTATATGTTGAATTTCTAGTTCTTTATGTTCTGTAGCATATCAGTGCAGATAATTAGTTCTGATTTAGTATAGGTTCCATCAAAGGACAATGAATTCTAACAGGTAAATAGAGCAGTGGACAAATTTTGGATCTTACAAGTGGATATGGCGGTGGCTTCAGGTCAAATGTTGCAGTGATTTTAGTAGGACCAGCCTTTCGTATGCATCTTCTCTGCAGTATTCAACATTTTCTTAAAATAAAAGGACAAGGAACAAGATGCTTCTTCTAAAAATAAAAAATAAAAAATAAAAAATAAAAAAGAAAAACATTAAAAGGTAGGATGGAAGAAATTTAACTAGGCAAACTTGTAAAGTAGAAATGTTTTTCAAGCCGATGAAACAAAGTAAAAAGTCGAAAATGGTATGACAAATACCTCAAGTCCAGAAAGTGTACTATACTAGCAATCCACAAAAAGGTTATAGTAGCTGTAAAATTTGAATAAAGTTCTTCCATTTCTTGTTGAGTTTAATGTTAGTTTTTGTTGATGTTATACCAAAGTGATTGTACCAAAAATGGTATCAAGTTCTGCCATTTTTTGTTGACTTGAGTGTTAATAATTATACAACGTAAAAAGGATACTGGGCCAATAAATGAATGATATATGCAAGATATTCCAATATGGTAAACCACCTTCAGTGAGTAAGAAACTGTCGGTACCAGTAATTTCAATTAAAGGAAAAGATATGGAGCCTAGCTCCTTACAGATTCTCATACCACAATACACAAAACATGACTCCTAATCAGAAATGCAAAAAAAAAAAAAGACAGAGACAATACAGAAACGATAGAAATTGGAACACAGATAACAATGGAATGGTAATTCTGCAAACCAAGGACCCCAAGCTCCCTCTAGGTGCAGATACTCAGCTACTAGAGTTCCCTCAACTTCTGCTTTCACTCAATTATTGTGTGTCCCCAACCGTCCCCTCTTTCCCTCCTATAACCATCTCCTTTTCCATTCCACTATCTCCAACTCACCCTCTCCATTCACTGCTTGCCACGTGTAATTCTCCATAACTAACTCTTTTGGCTTCTTATGCTGATAAACGAACTTCAAGGGTCCAACAGAAACCAACATCTATCATTACATATTTCACATTTGCCCATGTTTACCATAGACGAGTGCTTGTATTAGACGGTGAAGGGAAGCCCACAGCAAGGGAGACCTCCATCAATTGGCTAAGTGACAAGTCACAATAGTGGACTTCACACCGCATCTTAACCCAAAACTTTATGACACTTGAGTCTATACGTTTTTTTCACTTATATGATCCTTACTTAATTCATTCCTACAAATTTGGGACTTCATCACTCACACTTGAATTTACAACACTTTGAGGCCCTTAAAATACATTCTGGAAGACAAAAAGTAACCTATGGTATACCACTAGGAAAAAAGACGAAAATCTTCTTTCAAATGTCCAAACCACATATTATGCGGTACCCCTTGAAAAAGTGAGGAAAATAAATGAGAATAAGTTCAAAGAAACTATCAGTCCTGTCAAACCAATTGAAAATCTATATGCATTTGTTCTATCATGACTAAGAATCCCAACAGATACCCTATGCCTTGCAAATGCAAATCACAGATTGTGCACAATAATAAAAGGTTTCTGCTTATTATAATATAAGCTCAAAAAAAAAAGGACACACTATCTAACTAGGAAAAGCTCTAGAATGGAATTTATTTCAACATGTATTCCCATTCATTCAAAAATACCATCGGTAAAAACAGCAATAGCAACAACAACAAACAACAACAAAAAGGCACCTGATATGATAATAAATCAATTAACTTATATTTTTTTTTTATTTAAAACTTCTCCAAAAGAATAACCCCATTTCTTAAAAATTAAAACTTAATGGTTTGAATTTAATACATAGGGTGGTAGTAGTATTTAACATTTGTCATATATACCAACTGGTGCATGGCATGTGTGTGTGAGAGTAGAAATGAGCCAGATTGATATGTCATAATAGTTAGAAAAGCAAACCTCTTTCTTTGACAATTTGAAGGTACTAGAAGAACCCAGATTTTGGAACCCTGCAAAACAAACAAGAAACCCATATCAGAAAAAATGAGAGAGAGAGAGAGAGAGAGAGAGAGAGAGAAGTGAAACCATATGGGTGGCGGGGAAGAAAAGCGGAAGGTGACACGTAAGTAGTGGATAGCTGCAAGAAATTCATCTCTTCTTCTTCTGCTTCGAAGTGAGATGTTTCAAAATATTTTGGCTCCTACAGTCCTACTTCAGCTAAGAGCTATGTATCACCACTTGTGTGAGATTGTACTATTGTAGAAGTGCTAGTACTATCTAGTACATTATGTAATATATATTTACTTTTTTATTTTTTTCCTTTGAAGATAATAAAGATGGAAAATTTTGGTAAGTATTTACAATTTATTGTTACACCCATTTCTACACAAAATTTTGTGACCAGTGACCACTAACTAATGTAATTAAATACATAAAATTATATTACGTTGATGATTTTCGAGGTCTTATTTCAATGGAAAAAACTACTCATATATTACATGTGATAACTTTCTCTCTTAAACACCTTTCGATAACTTTTTTTTTTATTTTTCAGATGGTGGAGCCCACAAATATGTCTCTATGACATGAGATAACTTATATCCTTTAACATGAGATTAATAAAATCTTATTTCAATTTCATTAGTAATTTTGAGTTAAATTTTGAATAGATAAAAATTTGAAATTATGAGTTTTTTTTTTTTTTTTGGTAAATATAAAATTATGAGTTTTATTGTTCTTGATCGTGTTCCATTTGACATGATTAATTGGATAATCGATAAATAGTGAAAAAAGTACGTATTTATAATTTTAAGAGTAAACTCCATTTTAGATCCCTAACAAAAAATATAGTCCTCACTTTAGTTCTTTACAAAAAAAAATTAGTCGGCTGATCTCTATGAAATTCAAAATTGATCCATTTTAATCCTTTTGAGGGATTAATATGAATTTTTTTTTGAATTTATGAGGGACACGATTTTAATTAAATAGTTCCACTTTTGGATTTTTTGGGACCTCAAACTAATTTTTTTTGTAAGAAACTAAAGTGTAGATTATATTTTTTGTTAGAGAGTTTACTTTAATTTTAATTGGTGTAATACTGAATTCTTAATATTATATTTCTTAAATGATAAATCAAGTGTCATTTCATTAAAAAGCAAATTTATGCCTGATAAAATCTCTAGAACAAAAGAAAAAATATCATTCCCATTCATAAAAATTAGAGTAAACACAATTTTTGGTCCATGGCAATATCTACGAAATCCTTTTTAGTCCCTGACAATAAAAAAAGACCAAATTGGTCCTTAACAGTATATAAAAAGGGCCACGTTAATGACGGAGGAGTTGACATAAGGACTAACGTGGCCCTTTTTTCATAATTTTAGGGACCAATTTGGTCCTTTTTTATTGTCAGGAACTAAAAAAGATTTCGTAGATATTACTAGGGACCAAAAAAGGTGTTTACTCTAAAAATTATGAAGCGAGAGTCATAACCCTGGACATTGACCTCTATGCCACCCTTATAAATAATATTTATCAGAATATCACGTTTTAATTAAATTTTATCAAAATATCACGTCATATTCTCGCAACGCCAATAAGCAAGAATGAACTGAACACGTGGCAGCGTCTTGCAGCCACAAATCTCGCTGGTCAATGCAGCGAATGGCTGGTTAATGTGGCAGACTACCACATCTGCAAAAGCTAGTCAATGGTTGTACTTTTAGCCACGTGTCAGCAACCTACCATTCTCGCTAAGCTACTGGGCGAGAATGATTGTACCTTTTAGCCACGTGTCAGCACTCTACCATTCTCGCTGGACTGCTAGGCGAGTTTAGTTCAGATTAGGCCACGTGTACAGCACCTTGGTCTGTATCTTATCCTACGATTTTTTGTGTTTATACATGCTAATAATAATAACAATAATAAAAAATAATTAACTAGAATATACTTATTATTTTTTATTTTTTATTTTGGTAAACTAGAATACTTATTTATTTATTTTGGGTAAACTATTATCGAAATCTATTTTTTTATAATTTAATAATGTTTTTTTAATAAATTAATCCATAATGATAAAATTGTAAAAAAAAGTATATCATTTCTTGCTATAATTATTTTTGTTGATTGATTATAATAAATATATAATTAAACTTGGTGACTAATCCATAATTTTTTTTTACCTTGTTATTTGAATTTTTTCATTGTATAAGAATTTTAAATTGTAAAACAAAGTCGTGGTTAAAATTTATTTTTGTTAGATCACCCAAAAAAAATTATTTTTGTTTTCTTTTTGTAATTTTAAAAAATTCATTTTGAACTTCTTAAATACGCGGAACACTTGAATTACCTAATGACCTGTGGGGATTATAAATGGGAATTCACAATGAGAATGGGCCAAGGAAACATTACTTGTCCCATTGAGTAACTAAAAAGGAAAGGATATCGGTTTGATTTTCAGGTGTCACCTTTGGAAGAGATTTAAATATTTTTATCCCTACCCCTGCTCTGTACACCGGATTAGTCTCATAGCCTGCTCAAAGAGTTGAAGCTCGTGGGAATAAATTAGGGTTGGGATAACTCAAAAAAAAGTTTAATTAAAAGTTAAATATGACACTCGTATTTAGTTTATGGGTATAATGTTTATTATGTTGTAAGAGATAAGTTTATCTTTTATACATACATAAAAGTATGTGAGACCCATATTTTTCTTTTCTTTTTTTCTTTTCTCCTCAAATAGGCTCACATGACCTCACACAATTTTATGTCTGTATAGGAGATATATATTATTTTTTTCTCAAACAATATGTGAAACATTAGTTTATATAAAAAAAAAAAGTTTTCAATTGAGTTGTTGTACGTACACAATCATTTTTAATGTCATCTTGGTCATTTGTTGTAGTTATAATATTGTAAGAATAATATATTTCTATAAAGTGTAAAGACTAAATTGAAAATGATTTTCATATATATGAAACAATTAAGATCCATATGCAATAGCAAAAAAGAATTACACACTATGTTATAACATACATGTATACTTGCACAATTATGTTTGATCATACTAATGAGGTTATTAGTTTTCTGGAAAACTAAACTTTAAATAGTTTGCTTTTATCTATAACTCTTAACCTGTACAAGTTATGGGTTATGTGTGTGTAATCGCGCGCGTGATGTCTTTTCTTTTTTTTCTATTAGGGCAAAATCAATGACTTCTTTAAGTGAAGTTCATGACGGTTCTCCGTCATCTTCTTCTACAACTTTAGACAATCTGTGAAAGAGTATTAAAAGATCTAAGAATGGGGAGGAGTTCTCCCCAGATTCATCCAACAGAGAAGCTGGATTGGGTTTTCACTCATAGCATACCTCAACAGGTAAACCAAGATCCTTTAGGACACTCTTAAAATTGAAGACACCATCAGGGGAACAGACCTATGTTGGACAGAGGAGATGCATGAGGACAACAACGACAACGAACCACTCGACCTTAAGATGGGTGCTATTTCTGACTGGGGTTTTCAAACTATCTATGGATAAGACGGTTCAGTGAAGATCAAATGCACTAAGGAAGCCAAATAGAGGATGAGGAACCCTTGGAAGAATGCCACTATAGTGAAGCTTCTGGGGAAAAAGGTTAGGGTCATGTACATGAAAAACAAGTTCGAAAGCTTATCGGCTAAGTCTGGGAGCATTGTGGTTGCAGACCTATGAAACAATTTTTTTCTCTATCAAGTTTGCGAGTTTAGAGGACCTCAATTTGGTGATTACATATGGCCCTTGGGTGCTTTTGGGTCACTACCTAGCAATCATAAAGTGAGAACCTTGCTTTAACCCTCTCAAGGCCAATATCTACAGATTTGCGGCTTGGATTCTCCTTCCTAGCATCCCCCAAGAGTATTGTGAATAACCTTTCTTAAACTACCTAGTTAACATAGTAGGGAAAGTAATAAAAGTAGACAAGACTACCTCTACCGCAGATAAGAGGTAAGTTTGCTAAAGATTGTGTATACTTAGATCTCTCTAAACCCATAAGGGTCTATTACCTAGAAGATGAGATATTCTGAGTAGCGTATGAATGGTTACATCTAATTTTCCTAAAGTGTGGTTGTTATGGCCATAATACTGATAATTGTCCAGATTTTGCTAAACTTGTGGTAGCTTGTAACTCTTCTAAAAGAAGTGAAGTTATGGTGGAAAAACCTTCAATGATACAAGGAGTTGGTCCCCAGATAGTTGTGCAAAAAAAAAAAATAAGTATCCTTTTCTAAGAAAAAAGACTTGGATAAGGATCAAAGATTTCGGGATGATATCACTAACAAGATATAATCCCCTGATTTGAAGAGAGACTCTTAGAAGGACAAAGGTAGTCCTATCCCAAACAGCCGGCCTACTAAGTCCACTTATGTGCCTGGTAAGTCTTCTTTTAAAGAGAAAAATATCAACACCCTTACCCAGCTGTCTTCCTCTGCTACTAAAAATGAGACTTTTCCTAACCCAAATAAGAAAACCACCAAAACTGTTTTGCATAGCTCCAAAACTCAACTGGTGGAGTTGAAAAATGCCTTTGTTTTTACATCTACTTCTACAAAGTCTGCTTCCTCACAGAAAGAAAGGGATATGCTTGCTTCTGTTCCTTTAGTTAACCCCTATGATTAGTGTAATGTTACGAAGACCAGCTCTTACGAAGATGTCAATCCTTGGCCTATTGTTTCAAAGAAGGATAGGGTTAAAAGGCCGACTCAAGTTGAAAAACTTGTCTATTCATATGGTCCCACCTTCCAAGTGGGTCCCAGAACTCAGAAACCAAGTCTTATGAGGAGTATGTCATTTTTCAGACCCTCTTCACCTAGACAAAAATGAAAAACCTCCTGATAGTGAGAACCAAAAAGATATGGAGATGGACAAGACCAATAATGACAAGATCATGGAGCATATGATGGAAAATAGCCAGGAAATTAGTAATCATGGACCTGCTACAATTATCCAATGAATTGCGTTGTCTAGAATTGTAGGTGTGTTGCTAAAAAGCAGTTCAAAACTACCCTTAGTAATTTCATCAAGAAGCATAAGATTGAGTTGGTTGCAATCCTAGAACCCATAATTAGTGGAGCCATGGCTCTTAAGAAGATTAAACAACTTGGCTTCAAAAATTTTGTGATTGAGGATGTTGTTGGCCTTGCATGAGGTATTTGGATTCTTTGGAAAGAATAGTGTTGCTCTATTTCTCTCATTGAGAAATCTAATCAATTT